ATACAGTTCTTCAAGAAAAATTCACAGAAACACTTCCTAGATAAAGGATTCGAAGAAGAAGATCCCCAACATCATCACTCGTAACTTGTCAAGCTAACCACCACGGCTCGCCGTTAAAATGGACCGGAGGAGCAAATCATACAACTTTTGGGAGAAGAGCGCATAGCCCTATTGAAGAAACTCCCAGGTCAAGCAATCGGTCTCCAAAGTTTCGTTCATTTACCTGTGGGACCTCGCAATGTTCACTCAGATATTGAAAGCGCGTAAGCGTCAGGGAAAACTTCAGGGAGACCTCACGACGTCCTGACTAAGTCCAAATTGAAACTTCAGAAATATTCAATTTGAAATCATGACAAAAACCGGGCATCCTGGGTGAAGACACTGCATGGGCTCAGAAACAGGAGAAATTTGCTTGTTCACTAGGTATTCTCAGACGCCCATATTCTGAAATCTTTCCCTATCCTGATCTCTCTCCTTGAAGCCCCACTTAAATACAACGCTCAGAATACGGTAATCTTCCCGGAAGCTTTAACCCCTCCTCATTTTGATCCGCTGACACTTCTACCTCTTTTCACATGCCGACTACAGCTGGTCGGCGTGTGAAGTGTTCGGCCGTCCGAGGCGAACGGCCACCGTCCGTCGGGCTGACCTCTGGTCGATTGGCCGTGGCCGTCGCTGGCCGCCGCTGGTGTCGCCGTTCCTTCGTTCGTTCGCTATCTCATTCATAAAATGAGACATCAACTAGGACTCTTGAAGATTACCCCGCTATTCAAAGCGACTTGAATTTTCGTGGGCCCAAAGATCATAAGCTGGGAAGAATCCCGGGGAGAGAAAATATCGCATCGAAAGAGCATGCATGAGAAAGGGAGCATAATCCTAAACCGCTTTCGTTGACATCATAGCCGTCTAGGCTGCTTAAGACCAAACCAGCTTTCCCATGAGGATCAAAATGCAGAGGAAATCAGACAGAGCCCTTGTGATCTCCCTTAGAATTCAGATGAATACCGTAACCCTGCAGCGCTTGAAACGACGCTGGCTCCCGTAGAACACCATAAAACTCTCAATTACCGTCTAAGCCAAAAAAAAGACTAAACAGATCATTCACAGGACACAGCAGCAAGGGGTACTTTACGAACTTCAAATAAGTTCTGCATACAGAATACCGATGGGTATGTCGTGTGGTGGGTGATAAGTCACAGGCCGTAGGACCGCCGGAGATCCTTTGTCGCAACTTTCGGGCACAGCTGGCCGTTCTGGCTAAATTTGACCTGTTGGACTCAAGAAGCCGTTCAAATTGACGATATTTGGGTTCTAGAAGGAGAAGTGTATTTGGAAATGTACCCACTCCCTGAGACATTTATTTCCTGGTTTGCGCATTGCGACAAAATCGACAACCCCAGGGAAATAATACGCTCACCTATCGAAGCGCTATCCGTTTCAAGCTATTAGGAAGCTATTCCTTACAGTTCCTCCCCAACGGCAACCA